CTGACTGAAAAATAAATCTGTTCTTTTTTTCTTATAAAAGGTTAAATAAAACAAAAATATTGGTGGTAATTTTTGACTGTGTAACTTTACAAACGGCAGCCCATAACTGTTGCTCCACTTTGTGCAAAGATTTGAAGAAGCGTTGTTTAGCTCTTGTTGTGCAAGGCTTTCTGCTAAAAGTACAGTGTGACCTGAGCTTTCAGTAATACCCCACCAGGTATCAACTCTGTCAAACAGAAGCAGCAACAATAGCTCTTTGCTATCATTTAAAAACAACTGATACCTCTAAACTAGGGGTGCAACAATACATATTGAACTGTTCAATACAGTGCTTTAGGTTCAATACACACTTGTATCGAACAATACAGATTTTTAAAATTTACTTTATCAACTTGTCCTCTGAAGATGCTCTGTGTTAAAGGATCAGTGGATCTGTGCTCAACTACTCCACCTAGGCTGCATTTTTGAGCACAGATCCACTGAGAAACTTGCTGTTTCAGCAACATTTAATTTAAAAACTGTACTTTTGAAGTTAAACAAATGTTCAGAATTAATTTCAATAAATTACAAGTTAAAAGGGGCATGGAAATTTCTCTTTTTTGTATCAAAAAAAAATCAAACCCTGAGACTAAAGTATCGAACCGAACTGAATCGTGAATTTTCTGTATCGTTGCACRCCTACTCTAAACGACTTCAGCTGTGTGCAAAGAAATTTCAAATCAGAAGACAAAATTTTAGTTCTGCTACATTTATTATTTATTATTATTTATTTACACTTCTAGACAAATAATGATGCTGAATGAATTAACACTTTGTCAATGTCACATTTTTTGTTTCAAGTTTAATTAACTAGGATAAATTGCTGGTATGTTTTAATATTTTGTTTAAAGAAGTGTAGATATTACTGTAAACATACAAAGTGATAAAGAAATATCAACATATAAAAAGGACTGAGCTTCATGTAAACTGTAACTTCATCAGAAAAGTGAGCACTTGTAAAATAATCAATGCAATCCACAAAAAAAGGGGAAATCCTCAAGTTCAGTAAACAAACCAAAGAGGAGCAGAAACTGTGTCCTGACCTGGATCATAAAGAACTGCTCATATTTCTGTAACATAAGACATTATTAATCATCACAAGCTGTAGTTTAAAGCCGTCTAACACAAAGCCCCATAAGCTGCTGCTCAGGTTTTCACTACCATCAACTGCCTCAAATTATTTCTCCCATTAAACAGTATTTGTGGACATAAGACACCAGTCATTTCAAATTAAAGTTAAACAGTAATTTACTAAAAAGTTACTTACAAACTTGTTAAAGTTAAGCATCGTGAGCCACCAGCCACGCAGTGACTACCTGAAGTGAATCCCTGCAAAGACAAAATCTCGTAATAAAGGTTATTCACCCACTATTTCTTTCACAGTACAGGTTTTTGACTGTGACACTCTTTAAATAACAGTTTGCATGAAATTTATTCTGATAGAAGAGTTGGAAAAAGGATGTCATAACACCTTCAAAATTATGTCTTTGTAATCGGCTTTAGCATATTTGCTCTATTTTTGTCTTCATAATTTAGTTTTAGTTACTGTTTAATTTGAGCTGGCCCATTTTTAGCTTTAGCAATTTTTGCTTTTAGTTATGGTTTAGCTATATTTAGCTTTTAGCTACTTACTAAACTACTTACAAATTTTAGCAATAGTTCAGCTTGAATCTACTGTTATGCTACTTTTAGTTTGTAGCAATGGTTTTTGCTACTTTGATCTTTAAGCAGCTGTTTAATGAATATTAACATATATTATACCTCCATTTCAAATTATTGTAGCTTTGACTACTATTATGCTAATTTTAGCTTTTAGCTACAATTTATTTTAGGCTTTTTCTACTATTTTGCTTATATCACTTGTGATTTTACCCATGATAGCTGTTGATTGCTGGTGTACTAATTGACATTTTGTCATCACTTTGTTGTGCTACTTTTAGTTTGTAGCAACAGTTAAGCCAATTTTAACTTTCAGCTACTGTTTTGTAAATTTTAACTGTAGTTCAACTATCTTAGTTTTAGCTACTATTGTGTTTATTTAAGCTTTTAACAATATGTTAATTTTAGGCTTTAGCTACTATTAGTTTTAGCTGTGATTTAACCCATTTTAGCTTGTGATTTCTGTGCTGCTAATTTACATTTTTAGCTACTGGTATGCTATTGCTTTTTTTTGATGATAGTTACTATTTTATAAATTTCAAATTTTAGCTATGATTTTACTGATTTTAGCTTTTTGCTACAGTTGTGCTAATTTTAGATTTTAGGTCCAGTTTTGCTCATTTTAGATTTGCTTTGCTTCTTTTTAACTTTTTTTATTTTTTAGCTTCTTCGGTAAAGTTTAGCAAAGCCAAAAGTCTTTTTTCTTAGAAAAGTAAGATTCTCTGGACAAAAGTAACTTTTACACCTGGACGTAACTCTCTTGATATTTTTTGTGTGCAGGATCCAGATCTTTCAGTACATCATCTACGGCATCGCCTCCTTCTTCTTCGTCTACGCCATCCTGCTGCTGGGCGAGGGCTTTTACACAACCAGCGCRATCAAGAAGGAGCTGCAGAGCGACTTCAAGACGACCGTCTGCGGACGCTGCATCACCGCCTTCGTACGCCAACACAACCGTCACACCCGCTGACCCACTTACACCGCACAAAAGAAGCCACTGAACCAAACTGTTTTTACCAGGATCACACTTAAAACATTAGACCTTTCAAGCCTGCACAAGGGTCACTTTTATTCACACAAGACAGAGCCACACAAACACTCCCACTTGAATCTCACTCGAGCCTTCAGGGTTACTTCAGCCCWGTTTGACCTTTCTGGTCTGATGAGGTTTGGCTCTGCTGTCCTGTTACCTGAGCATAAACACAAAGTCTGATTCATGTGTAGGTGGGCGGTGAGGTCTTCCAATAAGTATCATTAAAGTGCCTGTGACGTCAAGTTTTTGTAAAACATATGAATACATTTTTAGAAAGAGGACATTGATAAAATGTTGCAAAAGAAATTTCATGTCGCTGAGATGAAAAGTTGTTGAGATATTTGTCTGTGAGGTAACAGGAAGTGATGTCAAAGGGAAATGTTTGCATATGAACAGAGCATTGCTACAATAGCTAACACAGACTGTAGAGAACAATCTGATGTTTCTTAAGATTATTTTTGAGTCACTATCAGAGAGAAGAAGAGATAATATTGTTACAATAAACAAAGACCAGAGAGTTTTCTTTGCTAAAGAGTTCCCCTTTGATGTCACTTCCTGTTTCACTTTGGCTGAGCCAAGTTCAAAWGAAAAGATGCCAGTTATGGGACAAAATGGGTTAAATCGTGTGCATTATTCCAACTTTRTTWAATATAAAGGTGTTTTCTTTGACTTTTTGRATTTGAAGAATATYCATGTCACAGGCACTTTAACCTAATTCTTTAGTGCAACGATCCAAACTAAAACTAAAATCTAAATCTCACCTCTTTTCTCTCCACAGTTCATGTTCCTGACCTACATCTTCGCTCTGGTCTTCATCGCCATCTTCTGCTTCACGGCCATCCCGGTCTTCCTCTTCTTCAACATGTGGAACACCTGCGCTGCCATGAGGTCTCCGGACGCCAACATCACGTCTCCTGCCTCCATCTGTGTGGATGTGAGGCAGTACGGTTAGTGGCTGGGCTTTTATTTTACTGGACTGGTCGCAAACAGAACTCATTAATGCCAACACATAAAAAGGTTATTCTGAGCAGTGATGCCTTTTGATGAAGAGCATTTTTTTATCTCATTGCTGGTAAATTCTCAAAAAAAAAGATTGTTTTAGGCAAACCCCTTTTCATCTCATTAACTTATCAAAATCTACTTTTTCTTCATGCTCCAGCTGTGGTCCCARAGCTGATCTAATAAAAAGTGACACTTGTTCATTACGCTTACATTGGATCAGGTGTACTGGAGCAGAACACTGAAGGAAACTGGGTTATAAAAACACAGATTTGTAATAAAACAGATGAGTAGTACTGCTGTTCAGGTTTTTATGTGTGTAGTTTCAGCCTCGAAAATCCAGACTTTGATCGTAAAAATGTATTTTAAAAAGTTTTTAGGGAGGCTTTTTGCAAAAAAAGCATTTCTTGTTATGAAAGTTTAGATATAAATCATTAAAATAAGTCTCTCCATCCTAATGCCACTGTTGGAAATATTTACTGAAAGTTAAATTAGTTCGTTAATGTCTTTTAAATCAGCAAAAACATGCAAAAATAAAAACAAAAAACTAAATGTGTTTTTTTATAGATGGAAACCATTTGTCTAAAAATAAAAAAAAGCACTAAGCACACATCATTTGCTACCATAAGTCTGGAACAACATGTAATACATGATTAAAATCAGCAAAATTGTTTGTTTACATTCGACCATCAACAAGTACCTTTCAGTCACAGGGGGCAGCGAATTTTGAGTCTGTAAAATAATCTATGGATGTAAACAGACTCAGAGGAAGAACAAAGGAATCAGAGACGCCAGGTGGAAGAATCGACTAGACTGTGAGGRTGAAGCAACACAAGTAAATTAATTCAAGAGGTGAAAGCAGTGAGCCAAATTTGGCACAAGTTTAATCAACTGTCAAGATATTCTCCAAATTTCTCCAAACTTAGCTTAAAACAAAGACTATGTGTTAAAAAAACATTTAAATTCAACACTGGAACATTAAAAAAGAATTGATTTTGACGGCTATTGTGAGATAAAGAAAGACAGTAATCTTGAAAGGCTTTAAATGTAGGTTTTTATTTCCAAAGAGGTCAAAACGTTCATTTTGTGTACTGGGAACTTGATTGGATCTGTATAAAAACCTGCTGTTGTGTGATTGCATCTGTGGCTGACTGTTATGTGGCTTAATGTACAGCATGTGACCCACATTTGCAGGGCAGCTGGCCTGCTTACAAAGTAGGATGAGGATCACATATGCTTCATTGGCCTCGGTGCTGTGGTATTACGCCGTATGAAATATTAACCCCAATTACTGGCACCAATCAAATTACTGTCAGCAGCTCAGACGCCTAATGACTGATCAGGGCTTTTATTCAATTTATGCTTTTCTTTAAAGTGTCTAATCTGGCTTCTAGTAGGCATTGCGTGCTGTTTTTTTTCCACCCATTCTTTTAAATCAGTAAAAATCTTTCCACAGAACGGAGGGATTCAGAACGGTGACCCATATTTTTCCAGCAGCAGCCGCCCCGTTTCCTTTAATCTCTATCTGAGCCTGATTCATAAAGCCTTCACTCCTACGGTTTCTGGGGTGGAAAAAGAAAGAAAGAAAAAYAGCTTCTTGTCTCATGTCGGTGACATTTCCTCTCTTTGATGCTGCAGGTCTTGTATCCTTGAACGCCACGCCTGGAAAAGCCTGTGGGACCACACTGGGAGATATTTGTAACACCAGCGAGGTAAGAGGACTGTAAATATTTATATAAATGTGTTTTACTTTTGTTTTAATTATCTAAATGGGAAACTCACAAAAAGTCTTTATGTGGATACAACTACTTTATTAATATTTGAAGTTGACTCGATTCAAGATAAACACCACAACTAACTCACTTTTTAAAGAAAAAAATACTAAAAAATGTCTATAACTGAAGTCAATATTACCAGTATTGGGTTCACGTTTGGTGTGGTATTTTCTGAGAGTCACATCAGCTTATTTTCAAGGTTTGACCCAGTCAGCTGTACGTCCAATGGGCCTCATGCAAGAACCGTTCGTACGCACAGATTTGTTCTTAAGTTGTGCGTACGAGTGATTTAGGAGAATTTGTGGCATTCACCAATGT